GACACAACATCTTTGTTGGTATGTGGTGCTGAGGATCGAACCCGGGCCGCACGCATGCCAGGCGAGCGCGCTACCGCCTGAGCCACATCCCCAGCAAGACTTCATTTTCAACAACTGGATTCTTAAACACTATTTTAATCTAAGATAAATTCTTACCCACAAAATGTCTTCAAACAATGGCTTCATTGACATACAAAATCATATATGCTCACCATCTCCACCCMAAAACTCCTATTTCTTGCCCAGGGAACAACAGAGAAATAAGGTGGAAACAGACTCTCCCATTTGGCCTCATGAGCATAACACTCTAGACAATCACAATCACAGCTGGGCTGCCTTTTGTCACATTTACTCACAGAATAATTTGGGGGTGGATGTTTGCAGTGGAAATTTGCCTGTGGCTTATGGGGCATTTCTGCCATTTCTATACTGCTGGTAAGTTTTAGTGTCTAAAAACTCCGGAAGCTTCCTGTATGGATGGCATCCTGGTGGCTCTCTCTGGTCATTCAAGAGACAATGACAAACATCAACATGCTGAATCTTTCATTGCTCTGTCATCTAACGTTGAATCTTATGATAAAATAAGTTACATAAAAGGTACGTCAAAAGGCATTTGTGTAGGTAAACTAGTCTAAAAAATCGTAATCTTAACTGTGTTTAAGCCTCCAGTACACTAGTGTTACATCTATACACATTGTTTGGCGGAGCTTTTGTTGTTGTTGTTGTTGTTATTGTTGTTATTACTTTGTTTTTGTGGTGCTAGAAATCAACCCCAGGGCCTCCTGCATGCTACACAAATGTTCTACCACTCAGCTATATCCACAGTCCTGCATATTGTGCAATAGACCTCTAGAACCATCATTTTACTTTATTTTTTTTTAAGAGTCTGGCTACTTTTGATACCTCATTCAAGTGGAATCTATCTTATATGTCTTGAGCATTGGATTCTGGAAAGTGTTTTCTTTGWCTAGAAAATGGATAGAGTCCTGAAGGAGAACTACTGGTCTTACTGTGTTACTCGCCTTACCTAATTTTATTTAACAATATTCATCTATGGTATAATAAAAATGCCACAGTCAAGTTACTAAACTCTCTGGAATCTTGGTTATCTTGGATTAACTCACTAAAAGAATTTGAAGTGGTTCCTAGGTTCAGTGGTGGATATGACTTCAACAGCTGTTTACTATYCTCTGGTCTCTCTAATATTTGCAACCAAAACATCACACATATGGTCTTGTTCATTCTGAGTTTCAAAATMATTACAAAAACGAGGCCAGAATCTCGTAAATACAAGAGCCAGGTTTTAATATACGAGTAAAGAGATGAGTCACCCTAGCCTGTCCTACAATGGCAAGATAACCTCAAAGATCAGGGCTATCCACAGGTGCACCTGCCTTAGAAGTCAAGAAGGACTGGATTCTTGGAGTCATTATACCTTTAGCCTGGGGATCATTTCCAACTGGTATAGCTGCAAACCTGAGAAGGTGCCATTTCTCAGATACTGTGTCTTGGAGAAAACATGAGTTTCATAAGCCCAGCAGGCTCTGCTCAGCATCTCCCAGGTCAGGGTAATATTGCCAAAGACCAACACTTAAGAAGGTTGGGGGTTTTCTCTTTTGCTTGCTTGCTTTATTTCTCCCCAACCTCTTTCCTTTCCTTCCTTCCAAATCCGCACATCCTCTCTGAGAAATGAGGCTACTGCTTCTCCCCATGTGTGAGCAGGAAAAATTCCAGTCTAACTGCCACTGGTCCCTGAAGTTGTCAAGTTCTCTGCCTTCCCACCTCTCCCTGGTATAGCAACCAAAAGGGGCCTCCTGCTTCCTTTTTGGTACAAAGCCTCTGAAAGGAGCATTTGGGCACCTACTCCAGCCAGAGACCACCAACATCAGGCTCAAAGGGACTCTGAAATAACACAGGCATCTGGACTTCTCCAGAGAGGCAGCTTCCCTCCTGCTTCTCCCAGATGCTCCAGCAGCCTTTGTTCCAGGGCCTTTTCTGGGGGCTCAGACCMTTGTATAGCCCCAGGTGCTGAAGAATCGACTGTGGCCAGCAGGGATGTCTGAAAGGCTTACTATCCTCCTCTCTGGGACAAATTCCTTGCCACCCTGTCCTCTTCCTGAGGACCAGGTCAGCAAGTGGCCCTCCCAGGGAAAGCTCTGTGTCCCATGCCCAGAAACATCAAAGCAGAGCTTGGGGAAGTGGAATTATGTTTACCATGATGGTCACCACTCGGGCCCCTAGGATGTTTGAGAAACGGAAAAATAAGCGTCGCCTGCTGCCTAGGTTCCGCAGACTCAGCAGGCCCCTACTGTGACCAATCAAAAACTGCCTTTGGAAGAGATACTGACTCATTCTTTTCAACCTGCTGATTGGCTTTGAAGAATGGGCGGAGCTACTACTCCGTCCTGGCTTTCCATTGGTGGATGAAAGTTCAAGGTGGGCCTCCAGAGGGTTTTTGTCCTGTGACAAAAAAGGAATGTCTTGGGGATTTTTTTCGCCCCCTGCTTTGGAGGCCCAGGCTCAGGGCCAATTATAAGTAGGAAACCAATTTGAAGGAAAGAAGTTGGAAACGAGTTAGGGTGCCAGGTCCTGGGAGAGAGCAGCAGCCCCATCTGAGGCCTGCATGGGCCTCTGACAGACTCAGGTGCTTGTTTTAAAGGGAAAGGGCTTCCAGAATTTACCAACAGCGAGCCAGCTAGGAGGTGAGAGAGGTACTCCCCCAACAGGCCATCAGAGGGAGGGGAAATGACGGAGAGCACAGTATGCTCTTAGCATTTTTATTTTTTAAAGATTTTAAATGATTCTTCAAAGCCAAACAGCAGCAAAGTGTGGGTTTAATAAGAGGGCTTTTCCCGATGGCTAGAATGAGGTTGCTCTCTTGCTAACCACGCGGAGAGGGAACCCACTATGCCCCCGTTGATCATCCTCTCCCAGTTCCTTCTCGCTGGTCATAAGACCACGCTCATCAATCCCACCTAAGGCCAAGGCCAGGAGCCCAGCCCTCGGTGGGAACGGGGGTAGAACAGCCCTCCTCTTCTGCCCCCAAGACCAGAGAGGACTCTTGGGAGCCAAGAAAGGTTTAAGAAGTCTTCCTGGACAGATGCCGTGCGTAGTGAGGACCAAAGGCGCTCCGGGCACAGCAGGTCCAGGGGCGCGGAGAAGAGATAGGGCCACCATGGGCCTTCTTCAGGGCCTTCTTGGAGCAAGGAACCTGCTGTTGGTCGTCTGCGTTCCGCTGCTGCTGCTGCCTCTGCCCATCCTCCACCCCAGCAGCGTAAGTACCCACCTGTGCCTCTCCAGGGCCTGGAGTCAGTGGGAGGGCAAAGAAGGGAGATGGGGAGGCAGTAGGGTGCTTATGCAGTACCCACAGTGGGTTATTGTGGGACTGAAGGAATGGACATGATTTTCTAGAGGAGTCCAAAATGACTTCTTTCTAAAAACTGTCATATTCACTCCTCCATCTCAGTGCCAGACCCCCAACCCTCTGATATTCAGCTCAGTGGGGACAGAGTGAGGGATGAGGCTGAAATGACTAATGTGTGTTGCACAAAGCTGGGGACCAGGCGATGGATCCATAAGAAGGACACACTGGTGAGCAGTTACTCATCAGGAGTCAACCTGTGACCATCTTTATGTGAGAGCAACTAGAGACACAGGGAGACCACCTGTCATGACCCAGAGAAGGATGGGGAAGGAGGGCATGGTGGAGCCTGTGTCGGGTCTGTGGTCAGATCACAGGGGGCTCTGATTATCAGAATTTGAAAATCTTGGGAACATTCGAGAAGAAAGTTTAAGTTAGAAACAGAGCTTGATGTGTTGCCCTGGTCGGTGCATATGGCCCTTGTGTTATTTTTAGCCTCTGTGTTTCCCTCTCTGTGCTCTTGAAAGACAGACATAAAATGATATGAGCCCCCAAACCCTAGACTGTGACTTAATTTTTAACCAGCATTGTTTAGCAGCATCGGCTCTGCATTTGGCTGGCCTCTGGCCTCTTGCTTTCTGCCTTTCCTTCTTCCCCTCTGTTCTATCTGTGGCTTTATCCCTTCCTCCAGCTGTCACCTGCCTTGAGATTTCAGGAAGAATAAGCTAAGTCAGGCTGGTTCTGATCATTGGGGGTGGGGTGTCTCCCTCTGCGCTCCTTAAGTAACTTGGTAACCAAGATTAAGTTAAAAAGTTAAATAGAGGGGATTAGGATGGTTCTTAAAAACAAGCTGGCTTATGTCTTTAGTAAAATAAATACCCCAGCATGCCAGGCAGACGCCGAGTAACACTGGGCTGGGATTAGCAGCCGGTGATTACTGCTGACATTTTTCCTGGACTACTTTGTCCAAATGGGCCTGATTTTTTTTTTCTTTTCTTTTCATGGTATTTTTTACTCAATGTCAAGTTGATTTCAGGGAATGCTAACAAGAGACACATTACCCTCTTCTCCCTAGCACTTATTAGGGAGGCCTGCTTTCCTTTAAGTCAACCCCTATCTTTGGGGACCTTAACCAGTGCCCACAGGAGTGACAAATTAGGGGCCCAACACTGACTACGTCTTGTACCCATCCTTCAGCTGTTGCATCAGACTTTTAGATTCTGATATTTCATGCTAAAAACTCCTGGATGAATTTGCTTGCACTGGGCTGCCATTAAGAGAAGTGGCTGGGACCTGGGCAGGAGCACCGGGCCTACAGTTTTGATGGTTCTTCAGAGTGACAAGCCACCATTACACATTAGGAGGAATCAAAATGACTTTCCCCTTTTTCTTGCCCATCTCTCTAACACAGGAGTCCAGACTGTTTATCATATTACAGAAGAAGAGGGCAATGCTGGGGTTATCGCTCAATGGTGGAATACTTCCCCAGCATGCATAAGACCCAGGGTTCAATCCCCAATATCAGAAAAAAAGAGAGGAGGAAGCGAGAGGGGGCATCTATCACTCAGCCATTTTTCCATGTCCCCAGTAGGGTAAAACTTGCACCCCAACTTCCTAAGCTAAATTTTACAAAGGGCCCATTGGTCATTTAAGACAGCAAATGAACAGATTTCAAGCCTCGTCCTTGAGTGGGATACCATAGGGGTGGAAAAGGGGCAGATCTGAGGCTGAGTTAGTAAGTAGCAAGTTAGGGAACATTCTACATGGAGAAATGTCAATTTTGAACTCTTTTTTTTTTTTTTTAAAGGAGCAAAATAGAATTGACAACACTGTTTCTTAAAGACATTCCCTGAAAGCCCACCAACTTCCATATTCCTTCCAGCCGCTGGCACTGAAATGGGCCTGGTGGTCCAGAGTGTTCTCCCTAGCGAGATAAAAGAGACTTGTCAGCTAATAGAGCAGTCCAGTCCAGCCAATATTAATTGAGCCATCTGCGAGACATGGGCCAGGTGCAGGGACATCAGACTTCTAGAATGGAACTTTGCAGAGTATCTTGGACTGTGTGAATCCAGGCTTACCAAGCGCCTTTTGAGAAGACTGACAGGGGTAAAAAGGACCTGGATGTAGATGCTGTGGGTGACCTAAGTGAGCAATATCTGAAAAGACCCTCTAAAGGTATTTTTTATCCGTTCTTCTGATCTAAGGAAAATCCAGATAAAAATGTTCTTAATCCTGATGGGTGAAGGTGGCTTCCTCTGGCTCCAAATCCTAATGATATTTGCAATACTATGTTTCAGACCCATCAAACTTTCAGATTCTGATATCTTATCCTTAAAACTCCTGGCTGGATTTGCTTAGACTGGGCTGGCATCAGGATCACAAGTTCAAAGCCAACCTCAGCAACTTAGTGGGGCTCTAAGCAACTCAGCAAGACCCTGTCTCTAGATAAAATGTAAAAAATAGGACTGGGGATGTGGTTGAGTGCTGTTGGGTTTAATCCCTGGTACCAAAAAATAGAGAGAGGAGAGAGAGAGAGAGGGAGAGAGAGAGAGAGAGGGAGAGAGAGAGAGAGAGAGAGAGAGAGAGAGAGAGAGAGAGAGAAGCTGGAGAGTCTATCTCAGCTTGCCCAAATCCTCTAATTCAAATCAAAAGGCACATAGTTGAGAAAGTCTTCCTGTCCGCCCTTCTACTGTTGCTGCTCCTCTTCCTCTTCTTCTTTCTCTCTCCCCCTCTGTCTCTCTCTCTTTCACCTCTCTCCCTTAACTTAGGGCCTATAAGGAGAAGGATCAAGACTTCCCAGTAAAGGACAGACATTCTGCTCCTCTATCTTCACCTGGAATTAAGACCTGTCACTTTGTCTCTTTTCCAGACAAGAGATGAGAATAAGCAGGATTGAGCTCCTTTAGGTAGTTTTAGGTCTACAGGAAAGAGGATATTTCTCTAATTTGCATTCTTTACCAAATGGAGCCATTTCCCCCCCACAATGGATTCTGTTGTCTTATCAGCACTTCCAAAATTTTTATCTTCTCTCTGATCTTTTGGCCCCAGAGGAAATCTCAGTAGGAGCTCCAGTCAACAATCCCTGGGCCCAGTTCCCATCTCCCCAAGCCAACCCCAGAATCTGTGACTCTCAGGAGGGAGCAAACCTGCCCAGCCAAACCACTTAATCCCTCCCCCCACCCCTGACTGATTACAGAGAATTTTTGTAACTTTCGTGCAAAAGCTTGAAGAGCTTGTTCTCAACTCAAGGGCTCTAAAATAGAGCAAGATTTGTCAGGTTCCTGAAACAGCAGCCAGACCCAGGGCAGGTCAGACTTGATTCCTGATGGATTAGGACAGTGTGAAAATTGAGAAATGCACTACCAACTTGGATTTTCTCTACAACGGCCCTCTGAGGCCTGCAGCCTGGTGATGTTATCATTACCAAGATCTTGGGCAATGACCTCCCACAAGAGTAAGCCACAGCCTTCCTCCACACACTCATCAGTGCCTCTGGGACAATCAGCATTACTAGAGGCCAAGGTTAAGGAGAAGTGGGATTTGATACTTATTTACCCTGTGCACCCTGTGGTGGCACAGTGAGTGAGATGGAGGAAAGGCTGATAAATGTCCCCACCTCCCCTTCCAGCTAGATGGCCCCTCTGTGGGAGGTGGGGTCATTCTGAAAGCAATGAGCACCATGTTTGGTCGTCACACTAGGAATATGCTACTGGGGGGTACTGGGTAGAAACCAGAGATGCTGTTCAACATCTTATGTTGCACAGGACACAAAGAATATCCAGTCCCAAAGGTTGTTACAGCCAATGTTGAGAAAGGTTGAGTTAGGAGTTCTCCATTCTCCCTGGTCCAAAATGAGAATCTGTTCTCCATTCTCCCTGGCCCGTCCTGCCCTCCCTGACTGCAACCTTCAGCTCCTTAGCAACTCTTCAAAGAGCCCCTGAGGGAGGAGTTCACCCACTCCATACTGGTACACCACCAGAGAACCTGAGATCAAACAGGGAAAATAGCCAACCAGCTCTTGCCTAACAATTTATTGGATTAAAATTTGCCTCTTGAGATGGGTGTGGTGGTGCCTGCTTGTGGTTCCCGCTACTCAGAAGCTGAGGTGAAAGGATGTCTTGAGGACAGGAGCTTGAGATCAGCCGGGGCAGCATACCAAGACCTATCCATTAAAAGGAAAAAAAAAAAAAAGTTTACTACTGAATTGACTTGTTTTGGCAAATAGACCGAAGTAGGGGAATTTAAGTTTATTTATTCATTTTTAAAGCCATGAAGCTTTTTAGTAATTTTTTAAAATTTTACATGTTATGCCAACATATAAATCAAATAAAAGCAGGGCCACTGTGGTTGGGTGAGGCTGGAGAAGGGGTCTGGATTCAAGTCCTTGCTGGTCCCCTGGCATATTTCTGAGACACACTCAGGTTTCCAGGGCRACACGAGCATAGTACAGAAGCCAGCTCTTGGGTGACTTCTAAATCTCACCTCTTCCTGGTCTGCTTCTCTTCAGTCAGACACAGTCCGAGTGCCCCCACCCCATCCCCAGTCTCTTCCACCTGTGAACTCAGGATGCTGACCTCGGAGCTCACATGGGAACATATATGGACCCCATCTTCAACTCCCCCAACAAGCTCCAGTATCTGACTAATTGACCCCAGGAGGTTAGGTCCCAGCCCAAGTAAAATATCAGACTCCACCTTGACACTTGGGTCTGGATGTCCACCCTAATATCAACCCCTGCCCTCTGCGGCTTTGTGAACCAGCAGAGCTGGGTGAGGTCTCGACAGTCCTGTGGCTGTTGTGCTCATCACATCTGAGGCATGGGTCCCCCCAAGAAGCAGCCTTCACTTCACCCATAAAGAATGGGTCTCATCACAAATCTGCCACACCCACTGCCAAGTCCACCTCTGCATCTCCCAGAGCTGAATCCTCGTGCCCAGGGGGGAGTCCAGGTGCCTACTACCTTAGCCCTGGTCTCATTCAGATGCTTGATGGCAGTGACTGTCCCTGTGACTAACCACCTCTTCTTCCCCTTCCAGGAGGCTGCGTGTGCTTATGTTTTGATCGTGACCGCTGTGTACTGGGTGTCTGAGGCGGTGCCTCTCGGAGCTGCAGCCCTAGTGCCTGCCTTCCTCTACCCGTTCTTTGGAGTTCTGCGATCCAGCGAGGTTAGACCACTTGTGATCCAGCCCTCGGCTTGGGTCCTACCGGGCTGGTGTGGGAGGGATCCAGGGAAAATGAGATTCATAGAGCACTTGAGGAGGGGCTTTCTCACCCCCTGGAACCACCCTGAACACTGCCTTTGCACCTGCAATTCCAGACCCGGAATTCCCCACCTTCCAGCCCATCCTTGTCTTTCAAACTGGCTCAAAACTTGCCTCTTTCAGGAAGTATACCTTGATTGGACACTTCCAGTTGCATCTTCAATTTGAAACCTCCTAGGAACTGTATGATGGGAACCTGTGAATCATCTGTGGCTCATCTTTTCCAGCCTCTTGCTGTCCATTTTTAGTTGCCACACACAAAGCAGGAATCAGCCCCTCCCCCACCTGTTATATATCTCATTCAGAAAGCTGAGCCCATAGAAAGTAGGTGATTGATCAGTGCTTGTTGACAGAGAGGCTTACCATGATTCCCTGGGTCCCAACTATGCTCTTATCTACYCCACCCCCAAAAAGAAAAAAAAATTCTGTTCCTTCCTCCCCAACTCCAGATTACCGTGTGGATTTTCTTTACCCACTCTCTGCCTAGAGTCTGCCCCTCTGTTCACTTCCTGTGGCATTCTCAAAAGTTCAAGCAGAAGTGATCAACATTAAGATCAGGTTGTAGCCAAATGTCAGGGCAAATGTTTATGCCTAGCACAAACTAGGAAGAAGGGAACCAGCCAGAAGAGGAGCAAAACAGATGCTGGCCCTCAGTCATGAACATCTGGTTCCACTTGGGCTGTCTCATTAGGGCCCCTGGTCTCTGCTTAGCGATCCTGATGAAGAGGTGGGAATGAGACGAGTCAGAAGCAGAGAAGGGAGAGGAGAGGGAGTGAAGGTTGGAATTGCTAAGAGAATTAGGCGACATTCTAGAAGTGCTGCATTCATTATGGCCCTCCCAGGGCCTCTACGAGGTAGATGTTAATATTTCCAATCTACATGTGAGGGAAGAGGCTCAGGGAGCTGAGAAACTTACCTCAAATCACAAAGTAGGAAGTAGTAGAACTGGATTCAAACCTACACCTATTAGATTGCAGAGTTCACTGTATCGTAAGAAAGACATTCCATAAAGCACTGTGGGACTCCGTGGTGTTATCAGTCCATGGAATCACTACCTAGAACCCTGGGCCTCTCAGTCTCTGTGGCTTGAGGGAGGATGTCTGAACCCTAGCTAACAGAACTTTCTTAAAAGTCCCAAAGGTAGAATTAGGGGAGTGCAAATGAATGCTTTGTATTTCTACTAGATGAACTCAAGTGACTAGTTTCTGTTTGCTTTGACCTTGGGTTTCTTTTTTTCCTTTTTGGTTTTGGTGGCATTGAGTAAACAGAGCATCAGGCTCTCCAAAAAGAATAGGATCCCCGAACTCTCAGCAGTTCCTTTGTCTCTGGAGTGTACAACCTAACATCCTGGGGACCCATCTAAAGCTAGTCCGTGACCAGCATCACCAGTGACTCCAATTTTTCTTTCTTATCTAGAATAAAGAATAGGGAAGATGGGTTTTTGTGCATGCCTAAAGGAAAATTTGACCTTAACCAGGACTTTTCTTAAGTGTACAAACTTGTGCTGCAGGTTTCCCTTTAAACGGAAACCAAAACCTCAGGGGGGTAAGGGGAGAAAGGAGAGGGTAGAGGGGTAAAAATGAAGTTTAGAAAGAACGGAATCCCAAGTAACATTCTAATGGGACGACTGTTCATTAAGAGAATTAATCTTTGTCTTTCTCTTCAGGCAGCCCCGAAGCCAAGGGTTGGCCTTGGCCTTAAAGTAGATGATGTCTCTGTTTCTCTAAGGGCTGCCCACAGTAGGAATCCCCTCCAGCAGCCCCGTCAGCCTACAGCAACRTGATGTTGCTGGGCAACAGCTATCCAAGGGTCACCCCTCTACACAGTCAGAGGGCCAAAGGACAGAGTCCTGGGGGCAGCAGTTGGCAGGGTTAACAGGACTCTGCAGAGAAAAGAAAGAGCATCTTGAGGGATTAGGTGTTGCTCTGCTGAGTGCTGGAGGGGTGAGAGGGCCTGTTTCATCATTTGAGATTAAAAAAATCCTAATCCATCTATTTGATATGAATGGCTTTGGCTAGCAATGATATTCAGCAGTTGGGCTACAGGGAGCAGCTTAGTCCAAATATAGTCTGTTTAACTGACCTTCTTAGCTCAGATTAATGGGGAATGCCAGGAAGTTAGAGGACACGGGCTAGAGTATTGCGTGGGCCAGTTAACTGCAGACAGAAAATACCTGCTCTGCCACCAAGGCTCCTGGGGAAATGCTGTGAGTCCCCTCATCATCTGTGTGTCACGCCCGGAGTCCAGCTCATGCTTGACCACCCCCTGCCATGACTTGGGCCATGTATCCACTTTGGCAAGTTTTCTCCAGTTCCTTCAGTTTTAAAAATCCTACTCAATTACTCTCTTCGGTAAAGACTTTCCAAAGATCTCAGTATCAATCTCTTCCTTTTGAGCCTTTTGATGTTTTTAACTTTTAGATGGTCCATATTAGACACTCAGACATAAACTTTTGATAGACATGGGCTCTCTCCACCAAGATTCACCACCTCCCACACACCCCAGGATTTATGATGTCTGACAGCCCGTCCGCAGCCCAGAGCCAACCCGCATGGCCCTGGCTCAGGTTCTTGAGCACAGCGTTTGTTGATTGTGTGTAACTAGTGTCATCTCTACATGAACCCATGGGAACAGGATCAGTGTGGCTCTGGGACTGTGGCTTTTGTCCCTYGTGTTATTCACTYAACATTCTGAAAAKTGCTTCCTGAGTCCTGTATCTGCCATGTGTGAAGTGGGATGGGATGGTACCCAAGAATGACAAAAATGAAGAAAAACATAATCTCTGCACTTTCYAAGCTCATTTCTGGCCCTTCTGATGTTCCCACCCTCTGAAGCTAGACATGGGCTRTAGGGTTCTTCAGAGAGACAGAACCAACAGGAAGTAGGATAAATACAGATGTAGATAGTGCTAGAGATTGATCCATCAGGAGGAATTGGCTTGCTCAGTTGTGGAGGTTGAGAGATCCATGACCTGCCATCTGTAAGCTGGACACCCAGGGGAACCCATGGTATCAGTGTGGGACTGAAGGCCTGAGACCCTGGGGAGCTGATGGCGTAAATCCCAGCCCAAGAGCAGATAAGACGAGATGTCCCAGCTCAAGCACTGAAGCTGGGAAAAGGGGACAAATCCTCCTCCCCCACCTCAGTGGAYGGGATGATGCCATCCACATTGAGGACAGACATTCCAGTCTCACCCAGAAGCACCCCTACAGTTACACCCAGAAACCACCTTTCACCTGGGCACCCCCTAGCCCATCCAAGTTGGCAYGTAACTTTAACCATCACCAGTTCATAAAATTGTTACCTTTTATGGTATTAGCTTGTCAGCCAGCAGGAATTAAGAGTCATTTGCAAAGCTTAAAGTGCCTTCTTTCAATAGAAGGTGCTGGGAGGAGATATGAAATGAAGAAAATAAAAAGGCTCCTGACTTTCAGAAGTTTCTATTCGAGTAGAGAAAAAAGCATAGAAAACGTAGGAAATGCAGAAGGCTCTGCAGTAGTTACACGCTCAAGTGCCCATACTTTGAATTGGCCACTTCTTGAGTGAAATCTTTCTAAAGGGTTTTATAATTTCTTTTAAAAGGAAGTAGTTAAATATAAATTACCTTTTTCCTTGGAGCCTTCAAGGTTTCTTGGAGGGGGTGGCCACAGATCCTCACTCAAAGGAGGCAGTGTGGGCTAGAAGGTAGCAGAGCTGAGGAGCCTGCRTGCTGAATAGCTGACCTAGAGAATCTTGAGTGACGTGTTGGCATCCGCTGCAGAGAGAGCTCAGAGGAAATTTGACTTGGCACATTAGAGGATTGACAGGTGGCTAAGCAGGATGGGGGTGGCTGAGGTATGGTGACAGAGTCGATGTTGCCTGGATGAAACTGACAAAATGAAGTTTAATAAGGATACATGTTAGCAGCCGATGTGAAAAGGTCCTTGGCTTTTAGCTGAGTACAGGTTTACCATGAGTCATCTATCAGTACGATGTTACTGCCAAAACTTTGAGCAGTTACCATACGCCAGCCCCTATGGGTTGTCATTTACATGCACAATATCATTTAATCTTCTATGAAGGAGTTATTATTTTTATCTTTATTTTACGGAGGAGGAGACTAAAGTTCAGAGAGGTCAAGTATCTTACCGAGGCTACACAGCTACTAAATTCAAGATTGTTTGACTCCCAAACTTGCAGTCTTGACCCTAGGCAATAAATACCCAAATCTCCTGTTGAATTAACAAATGATGTGACCAGATCATCAAAGTCTGGACAAAGAGCTCATCTAGAGGTGGTTGGCCAGGAGGTAAAAAATCTGGAACCTGAGTCCCTGAGGAATGAAGAGAAGATTTAGGGGACATGATTTGTGGCTTCTATGGCTCATCCCTGGGCTCAAAGTCAAAGTGCCTCATACAGACTGCTCTCCATTCTGGATAAGGGAAAACTCTGGAATGGGTTAGTTACCGTGTTCCATCCTCATGTTCCTGACCYTGGAAGTTGGAGCCAAATGACCACACCAGGCACACTGCAGACAGACTTTGAGCCCTGGCAGATAGGTTGAACTCTGTGTCTCTTTGACTTTAGAATTCTGTGATCTTTTTGTGGGCATCTGGCACTACTTCCCTCTGCTGCTACACAGAGCTTGGTCCTGGATTTTAGGTTTGTTTGTTTGGTTTTTTGTTTGACTCCTTTGTGACTCTTATTATTATCATTATATCTGCCTCAAAAGTCCTTTAAATGTGTTGCTCCCAATGTTGAAAACCTGGGCACAACACCCATGTCCATATAGTTAGCTAATATCTACAGTCTATAGGAGAAGAGTGCATAGGTGGGCACCCTAGGGCTCGGGTGGGGGTAGGGGCCAGAAGTCGGCAGGGGCTCAGGACCGCCGTCCAGGAAATCAGGGTCGGGAACTCCTTGTG